CGAGTGAGCAGCAAACCGAGTAACCGATGAGAAAGCGATGATAACCGACGCTAAGGTTGGAAGAATTCAAACCATGCCATAAGATAAGTCTGATCGATGTTGTCTCTTTGAACGTGGGTCTGAGAATGGATTAGAGGTCTGTCGAGGCCTGCAAGCTTGCATTTCAGGGTCTGCTTAATAAACTTGATGACTGCAAAAGAGGTCTTAAAAGTTCCCTGATGCAGTCTTGAGTTTCTTTCTCGCCAAATTTCATACACAATAGCTTGCAAAGCTAACTTGCAAATCACATTTAGCTTCTTGGAAGTCGAAGCTGAACGAACCCAGGAGATTCTCTGCAGAAAACCCGATGGAGGAGTAAGCATAGGATTGTAACTTTTAGCCTTAGTTACTCTGGATTGTAAATTTTATTTGGTAGTTATGCATCACAACAACAAATAATTTAACCCTAACTAGTTTCTGCACAGAGTCATCTGTGATATTTGTTTATCCAACTTTCAAGCTAAATAAAATATATATATATTATTTATAAGCGATTATTATATGAATAAATGGAAAATTAGACGTAAATATAATTGAGTAGTTTTTTATAAGTTAAATATTCTATGTATGATTGAGTCGTTTTCACCTATGGTTATTTGCTTGTATCGTATGGTTTTTTGTTAAAGGGCTTATGTATGATGAAAGGGAAATCAATTAAATAAATGATTGAGCTGTCGTTATTTTGATAAAGAGTTTATATATGTATGAATTGTATGGGTATATATCGTTATTTGATTGTTTCGTATGATTCTTGTCAAACGGTTTTTAAATAATGAATAATCAATGTATATATGATTGAGTTGTGTTACTCTTTCCACCGAATATTGTTACAACGTTCACACTTTTATCATTAGCAAACATGTAAATATAGTTAGCATATGGATCATGGATGTATGCCGTTTAGTACTACATATATGTCTAGAATCGCTTGTATGGCTTATAACAAAAATATTTCGCTTTTTACACATTAATTATGTCAACCATCAATCACTCGTACAAACATACATCTACATTTCTATGATCCTTTTTAGACCAATCTACATCTTTGACCTATGATATATGATAATGCGAACTTGATTTTGGTGACCTCGGGATAAAGAGCCCAAATTTTGCTATCTTTGGAAGATACCTATCCCTATGTAGTACGCATTGTCAATATTAATGCCGGATTGGAACAAATCAAAGAGGTAAGATATGTTATAAAGTCGCATGTGATTTCTACGCATTAACTTTAAGTTTGAATTTTATGTTCTTAGAAAGAACTCAAAAAGTTTGAAGCTTATCCAACCGAGATCATATATATATATTAATATATAGATACATAGAATTACATGTAAATAATATTATAGAGGCATAAATAGGTCAACGGAGGGAACTATTCAAAATAGTTGTTAGAGAGTATATACAACGTATATAATTGAAAATTACGTATTTATTGTATCACTCAAATCTCGTGTAGGGTTCTCACCATAAAGAATAATATAATTTGAATAAGGGAAACAAAAAAAATAAGAAACGACAAACAAAGGAGAGTTGACTTTTTGTCTAACCAAAGAATTGAATGAGATAAAACAAACGCAGTCCGATAAGGCGATCTGGTCGCTCGTCTAAAGATTTGTTGATACCAACTTTTTGGTACATACCAACGGTCTAATCCTGCGTGGCAACATAGACCTATCTCTCTTCTGTACACACGGGAGAAATCCCATTGCGAGTTTGGCAAATGCTCGAAAAGCCGCTATTTCTTTTTGTTTTTTCATTGTGAGATTTTTCTTATAAAGAACGAAAAATACAAAAAAACATGTATGGTAAAAAAATCATATTGTAGCCAATGGCCACCATAGAACTCCTCGCAATGACCCTATAAATATGATATATAATATATGTAGAATTCTTAATTTCATGCAATATTTAATTGTTCGAGAAAAACAAATCATACAATAAAGTTTTCTCGATTTATCCTATGGCCGCCGACCTGCCGGCAGTTTTGGAAAAAAAAAGTTTGAGTTGGACTAAATCCTTTATTTCTCCAATTGAAAATTGCCTAAAATCTCCATACTTTATGAATGCATTCCACATTCTTTAAAGTATATACCTCTAATTGTTCAAGACATTCACCAAACTCTTAAGAATAAACTAGCATATGTGGAACCACTGTCCTCGGTTAATATAGATGATAGAGATCCCTCAGTTTGTAGCTTGGTCACTTCCACTTTCACATGCTCCTGATGTCCTGTAGTGGTAATGATTCTTATGCTATGTATCTTTATCTTTTGATTGTCCTCTATAATTATTATTTTTTGAAAGAAAAAAAAATAGAAAATAGGAAAAACTTATCTAGAACAAATATTTCTATTTTGTTAGAAATACAATAACTCTCTCTGTTTGTCAGAAACAAATAATTCTATTTTCAAAATGAGGCACATTTATTGTGTATGGTAAGAGTTTATATGCATATATACAACCTGTCATTGTCGGAGATTTGCCGGTCATGTCGGAGGACTTGCTATTTTCAAACTCATAGGAAAACAAAAAGGATACCGCTTCTATTCAAACAAAACTATGGTCCTATAATGGAATCTGTATTCTATTCCCAATTTCACAACACGTATTTGTTTAGACTTTAGAATCAATCAACACACATTTAATTTTATTATATAAATAATGTTTTTATTTGACATGTTGCTTTTAGTTTATATTATTAATGTATTCACTAGACACGAAAGCACAACTCAGCAGTATGTTGAAACTTCTTAAGTTCTAACTTACATTTATAATGTATAACCACATATATAATGCTAATGCTATGAAATTTTAACCTAAGACATCATACATAACACATATATTTTATTCAAGTACTGGGCTAATGTTATTTTAAAATGAAAAAGACTGATCAATAGAAGTTAATCTAATCAACTTTTTAATAATACCACGTATCAACATCAAACCCTAAAAATGTCAATTAATATTAATTTTCCTAAACGGCACCATTTATTATGCTTCTGAATTCGTCTTAAATCTAGAATTTTGATGAAATGTATCATTCAAACTTCAGGAGCTAAGGACACTGTTTGATGAAATGTATGAAAAATTGATTTTTAAATAAAAAAAGTTTGTGGTGAAATGAGAGTTATTAAACGGTGAATATTATAATTAATTATTAAATTTTAATCCAATACAAATATGTTAAGTAAACTGGTTAGTTCGATATGAATATATTATAATTTTAATTTTTTAATACCCACAAAAAAATCTCAAAATCTCAAAATATTAATGTTTTAAAATAGGTAATATATTCAATCTACTAAATTATATATTTTGTAAATTAAATATAATTTGTTGTATATTTATTTATTATATATCAAACCTAAGTGTAAAGAATATTATATTATTTTTATATATAGTTAAAAAAATAAAATTAAATTTTTATAGTTAGTGAACAGATTATAAATGTCAATTATTAAATGATGCAAATTAGAGTTGATGATTATAATATTATAAATTTTATATAATAGCCTAGATAATATTTTAGTTTAGTGCCAACGGTTTAAAACAACTTATTTTGCTTTACACGCTTATAAAATAATTTCATATACGGATTAACTCATTTTTTATAATTCAAAAAAATATATATATATATACAGATCAACTCATTATTTAAAATTCACAAAAATATGCACTATATTATTGTAAACTTTATAACAATAACTGTTTTTACAAAATAACTATTTTCATCAAATTATTTAAATTAGTTAAAGATTAAAAATATATCTTCCGCATGTTAATCCCTAGTTCTATTCCCAATTTCACAACACGTCTTTGTTTAGACTTTAGAATCAATCAACACACATTTAATTTTATTATATAAATAATGTTTTTATTTGACATGTTGCTTTTAGTTTATACTATTAATGTATTCACTAGACACGAAAGCACAACTCAGCAGTATGTTGAAACTTCTTAAGTTCTAACTTACATTTATAATGTAAACCACATATATAATGCTAATGCTATGAAATTTTAACCTAAGACATCATACATAACACATATATTTTATTCAAGTACTGGGCTAATGTTATTTTAAAATGAAAAAGACTGATCAATGGAAGTTAATCTAATCAACTTTTTAATAATACCACGTATCAACATCAAACCCTAAAAATGTCAATTAATATTAATTTTCCTAAATGGCACCATTTATTATGCTTCTGAATTCGTCTTAAATCTAGAATTTTGATGAAATGTATCATTCAAACTTCAGGAGCTAATGACACTGTTTAATAGCTTTATGAATTGAAAAATTTAATAAGAATAACGGTCATAAATATAACTTCATTATATCACAAATATATATTTATAAGCTAACCTAATCTTGTTAAGCTTAAAAGTAGTATATATTTCAGCAATATGTATATATATATATATATATATTATTCTTCCGAAACCAAGTGATCATATTTGTATCAGACAAACGCATGGTATTAGATTTTGGAATGGGGTTTACCAAATAGCCTGTTTAATTAAGAATCATTTATGATCGAGTTGTTCAAAACAAAGCAAGAAACATATATCAGTGTAATAGCACTATAGCAGGCTAATGTGGACACGGCATTTTTAAAGCCACCATTTCACACCTTTTATAGATACACCTTTTGTAGATATTATATAAAGCTGCAAAAAAAGGTAAGAAACACATAATAGGTTTGAGAGTTAACCTAAATGATAATCTATGTGAATCCAAAAAAAACTTATAGAGCTTCCTCTCCAAGCCTAAGTCTATACTCCCCTTTATATATTCTGTTAGATTTAGAATGTAATTAAACTTTACGAGTTTAGCTTTCGAATATATAACTTTAAGAAACTTTTTTTTTTTTTTTTTTGTCAACAACTTTAAGAAACTTATACTTTTCACATAATTTACATACAATTATGGACGGCAGACGCATAAAATAACGACTGTAAGGGTTAATTAACCTATAGAAACATGGCCTGTCATTATATTTTTGATGACCAAAATATACATCATATATATAAAAAATAACAAAGAAATATACAGAGTGTTTCCTTGATTTGAAAATATATCATCTTTTTGTAACAAAACGAAACAAACAAATTGCAAAATTATCATGCTTCTATTTTTTTTTAACCAAAAATTATTCTGCGTCTTCTAATATTATATATTTTTTGTCTGCAGATTTGTTTTTTTTTTTCCGTAGAAATTAAAGGCGACTTAAGAGTTAAATAGTATATCTATACGACGGAGCCTTCGTAGATCGTTGAAAGTTTCAGCCTAAAGGATCGAACCGCCAACTTTGCTCGCTTAGACGTATATCTTCTCAAGTTACGTACCGAACCGGACCGGTTTAAACCACTCGAAGCCTTAAACGGAGCCGTTTTATTCATCGACAACCCTCCTTTCCGAACCGTCGACTCGCTTGCTTTCCCGTTAACAGCTTCAACGGAGTCGTTAGGCTGAGTCAGCATCATGACCGGCGAGATTCTCCCCTTTTTACGCCGGCGAGGTTCTTTCCCGAGTGAGTTTTGGATCGCGACGCTTGCTTTCACGGCGAGAGCCGCCATGTCAGACGCCGTTAGCCGGTTCTGACGCTTAGAGATCGGGAGGACGAAGTAGATCTGCTCCGCCTGAAGAGACGATCCCGATTCTATCGCCGGTATGAAATCGTCGTAGTAGAGAGAATCGGAATCGCAGATGAAATACGAGGAAGGTCTAGAGGAAGAGGAAGATGAAGCAGCCGCCGATTCTGCTTCTAGTACCTGAGATGCTAACACCGGGACATTGTATTCCCGGAGATCGCCGTTAACCGTCACGATCTTCACCGTTGGAGAAGAATTTGAGTCTCTCCGGTTAAACGACACACAGTTACCCATTTTCGAAAATTCCTGAAGAAATTTGAAATCGAGAGAGAGAGAGATAAGTAAAGCACAAAAACGAAGAAAATTGATACGACGCGTCGAAAAGAGTCGGTCATGGTGGGTTTATATATAGAGAAGAAGGATGATGTGAGTAGAGAATTCTAAACCGGGTAAATCGGTTACGGTTCAGCTGTTTCAAACCGGTAGCTGACACGTTGGTGCCGTCGCTTTGTCAGTTGTCTGTCCATTAGTAGATTCTTGTCACGCATAGTAAAAGGACATAAATTTTATTTTATTTTGTGCTAAATGGACAGATAATCTTTCCCTAATCTTAATTATATTCATGACCTACTTAATACTCCCGGTATTTCTTTCTCTTGTTGAGTTATTAGTTACTATAAATACTGAATATTTTATTTTCCGATAAGAATGCTACCAAAAATAAAATCTCTTAATAAGATTATATATATATATATATATATATATTTCGATGTATTTATAATGAAGGAAGATTCAGTTAAAGCAAATTTATACACACGCAACGCATACAAACTTTACCAGCATATATAGGTCATTAAATAAACATAGTTGTGTTGTGGTGCGTCTGCATGGCGATACTCTCTTATCATCAATCTCTATTTCAAATTGGATGAATGCTCTTTATGGTTTTTCTGTACCGTTCCAATTTAATTTGAAGAAAAAGGCTCAAAATCTGAAAGCAAAGTCAGAAATAACGTGGCATGCGCCACGCGACCCCTAGTCGCAAGTCATAAGAAGTGAGCTGATAATATATCATAATTTTACATTTTAATAGTTTCATGCACGTACGGAGTCAACACCACTATTACAATTTTTTTTTTCACTATTACAACCTTTTGACAGCAGTTTATTGTCTTCATACAATTAGCGAGTATTAAGTGGAGTATTAAGTAAATAAAATAATACAAATATGTACCACCAGTATTATTTGTAAAACAGCCATATCAATTTAACAGATGCACGTTAGTCCCTTAATTATATATATTAAACAACTTGCAGTGGAAAGACCAATGAAATTTGGTTTTAGGGTCGAATTCTCAGAGACTTCAAAACTGGCATGTTCTTTAATTTTAAATTCGACTTATGCTTTAAGATGAGACCAAATTTTCACCGATAAGAAAATACACGATTTTTGGTCTATAACTCCTCGATTAACTTTAAAACAATATATAAAATCTGCAGTGGAATCCATATATACTTAACGACTTAGCGTTGCAACATGGTTAACGTATTTCATATCTCCATTGAACCGAGTAATTAACCTCGAACGTGTCGGAGGACATGCAAAATATTAATCAGGCTTCACGTGATTACACGTTGACTTATTTAGTAGGCCGAGCTACGTTTATAAATACACACTCGTGATTCAAACTGAACAACTTTTTATATATATTTTGCAGCAGTTCAACTTCGACATTTAATATTGATCTACATTTCCTGAATATATATGACGACCGAGTATACCATCTCAAACTTTAAAGTTTGGAGTTGAACGTGCATATACGGTCAAACAAATTAAACAGTATTACACACCCTACGTACGCCCTACGCTAACATATTCTTATTTTCTTTTTGGTATATATAACGCGCAAATTTTAGTTAATATTTACCTCATACTACAAATCTACAATCAAGTAATTGCTTGGCATATATGATTATCGTTATTATGAAACCTTTAACCAAAAAATGTATTTTTATTGTTATTCCGTAGTAAGCGAGGATTTAGGGGTTTCTGTCTTTTTTTATTTTTGGATTTGAACCCGAGAGTTAGTTAGAGCAGCTCCATTAGTGTAACTCAATATGAATCTCTTAGGATTTTTTTATTAATTTTGTTGAATAGTTGATTTGGGTTAAAAGACTCCTGTTTTTTGTTCTCCATTAGTGAATTCTTTATTGGATCTCTTTAGAATTTTTTTTTTTTAAATTAATCTCACTTTGAAGACAAAAACATTTATCTTTTATCCCAGCTCATGTCTCTGCGATAATCCTCTTCTTTCCTAAAAGCTTGGCGAGAAGAGCTTGAGACACCGCGTTGTTGATCTTGTGAGCACCGGTGTGGTTCAGGTCTCAGGGACGTACTTCCCGCCAAACTTCCCGAACCGACCGAACGAATCGGGTCGTTGTCACAGGGTCGAATTAGATCCAGCGCCCTTTGTCTTCTCCGCCTCCACCATGCGAACAGTCGAGTCCTTTGCGATTGTGCAGGAGATAGAACGACGAAGACAACTGCGAGACGATGGCAGAGGCGTAAGTTGGGGGAGTTTGAAAGGCGATCTCAACATCATCGTTACAAAAGAGATAAAAAAAGAAAGAAGAGAGTCGAGATTTTTTCCTAATGAATTTCCAAAATAAAAAGTTTATTAAACAATTACAAAATTAAAATTGAAGGACCAATCACCTTCCTCCACGTTGCTAAAGAGACGGTCTCCTGCACCCCTTAGCTAAGGATCAGTCCATCAAATTTTTTGAACTTTTCATTTAAATTTAATCGATTTTGTCTAGGAAACTGGACCGAAAAATGGGTACGAGACCCTGATAGAGGTGGTCTTAGTTTGGTAATAGTAAACCTAGGGAAAATTTGAAATAACATATCTTTACATTATCCTTCACTATCTAGACATAAAACACCAAATTCAACAAAATTAAAAATATTGATGATTTCGTCCGGTTTGGTTGTAGCACAATATATTAAAACTATTTATATTTAATTAGTTTGATTCCGGTTTCCCGTTCAGTTGGGTTATAATGTTCATCCCAATCGAACTTATTTTTAGAAGAGTAAGAAAATACTCACTTGGTCACTTATAACTAATTGTATTTATTTATTTGTTTAGTTTCTTCTTTTTTCTCCATCTTAAATAGTGCCTTCTAATTATTGTTCATGATATTGATATGGATCGATCTTGTGGGACTTTCTTTGGTCTAGTCCAATGTATTGCACAATATTAGACTTTCCATAATGTTCAGAGAAATATTGATTGATGTTAAGTAAAACGTACTTATCGAATTCATTTGTCTTCAAACGCTGTTTAGTTTTCTTTTTTCTTTTCGGTGTTTAGTACATTTCTATAAGTAGCGAATTAGAACATATCAACACAGATGACAGATCTAAATTAAAAAAAATTAGATGCAACTGCGAATAATGACCAATCATCACATATATATTATAAATCGGACATGAAATCTCTAGTTACAAAAACAAAGTTAAAAGTCTCTCATATAACAAATAGCTAAACAATTAAAGATACAAATATATAAAAGCAGCGTGTGCGTAAGAGCAATAGACGTATATTTTAATTTCTTCGATGATTTGATTATTTTAAAATATTAATTGATTGCTTATACATGTAATATAATATGCACATGAATGCATAATTTGATTTTATTCGTTGTGTCAGAGCATCTGCAATGGTACTCTATTTCTGTCTCTAAACTCTATTTTTAGAGTAAAATCATCTACATTGGTACTCTATATTTTACTCTATAAATAGAGAAATGAACAATATATCTCTATATTTAGAGAAATACTGTTCATTTTTCTATTTATAGAGTAGAACTTTTTTATTTACAAAACAATCCTTAAACTTTCATATTTTTTTATTTAACACTTAAACAATAAGATACCACATAATATTATACTTAATTAAATTATTTTAATAATAATTAGTTATATAATCTTTTGAAAGTTTAAAATAAAACAACAAAATATAATAAATAAAAAATTTTAAAGTATAATTATGTTAAATTATTGTTAAAACTAAAATAAATAGAAACTTTTTAAAACATTTAAAAGTAAAAGAACTTATAAGCAATTAATAATAAGATTTACAGTCAAATATAGAGACAACCATTGTAGTAAACCCCTTCTTTATTTATAGAGAACTCTATTTTTAGAGTAAAATATAAAGGCAACCATTGCAGATGCTTTTAGTGTTTATATGCCAATACGGTCACACCTGGCCGATGACGAAACGATCGCGTTCTCACGTCGTTCCAGCAACTTCGTGTGCATAAAATAATCCACAAGAAATCCGCACGAGAAAAGATCTTCACAAGAATCAAATCAAGTATGTAATATTTAAAAATCATAATTACGGACCAGAAAAATTAATGTGGTTCGCGATATGTCGTTTGATTAAGTGACGATGTCACATGTTTACCCCCCAAAAAAACGAATTTATAAGATTAACATCTTATATATCATGCACTTAAAAAAAAACAATAAAAACGGCATAAGCCATTTTGTGTGGACAGAATCTTTGCGTCACACGTCTTGTTCTTTTACCAGAACTATTCCTAATTCTGCCTTATACAAATTCGTGTTGATAACTCACTCTTAATCATATGTTCCGATCTTTCTTCTGAACAAGTTCATATTGGAGACGTTATCAAAAAAAAGAAAAGTTCATATTGGAGGCAAGCAGAACTTGGGCTCATTAGGACCCATTAAAAAATTGGGCCAAATCAGCTCAGTTAATGGCCTGACATAAGTTGTCTTAAACGATGGTAACTTACTCTTCTTGCCCATATACCATTATCTCATTTTCCCGATCGTGGATGTTCTCATGGTTCTTATACTTTTTTTATTTAATAAATATAAATCACTTGTATCTCATACACGTGCGTGTTGAAGACTTGAAGCGTGCTCGTGCATTTTCTTTTCACCCGTTGTATAATGTCTTCTGTGTTTGTATATGTGTACAAAGCGTTCCGGGCAATACGATGCTTAATATGTTTAACTTCCTTACATACTTTTCCCCCAAAAAAAATTTACAAACTCTACATACGAAAATTATCTTACACAATCTTTATTACCCGGTTTAATTTTATAGCCGATTTTTTTAAAATTATATTATATTTATCAGAAACGTCTTTGTAACCCAAAAAGATGATCATAAACATGAAACTTATTTAGTCAAAAAAAAAAAAACATAAAACTTATTTACTTTAAACAATACTTGCAAACCCTCTCGGCCCACAAGCATCACTTTACAGATTTGATGTTCGCAGAACTATACCCAAGTACAAGTCATTCACTGTTGAAACTAGTTTACATATATAGATACGTATTAAACATCTATTATATAAAGAGTGAGTTGTGTCTCACAAATGTGACACATCAGCACCTCTTCTTTTGACACATCAGCTTTGAAAAATAAATAAAATATTTAGCAGGAGAAAAAATTGACGGTGGTGAGAGATTAATCAGAACTTCTCCTCCCAACAATCTCGAAATTTGAATAGGCGAAAGGAGCTGAAGGAGAAAAAGAAGAATAGAGGAGGAAGGAGGTTGAGGAAGAAAGACGAAAAGTATATATAACTAAAATGATTCAGACTCTTCATATGTCTTTAACTTGTTTCTAAGACGTTGTTTAGATTAACGAGTATGACTCTCATTCTCATATTCTCCCATGATTTTTACTTATGTTCTCTTACTACTCTGTTTCTTTCTATGGATAAGATTTTAAGATACTACTCTTACCCTGTAGATCTCCTACAAATACCAGATTCTAGGAATGCAATTGTTTAAATATAAGTTTAAAGGCTTATAAGAAAATAGACTATGATGAGAACAAGAACAACTCCTGTATCTTAAAATATTACTATTGAGCTCCTTAGAGACGTTTTATCATGAAATAGGGGAGCTGTGTATTGTTCCATCTCCACTGTTATAGTGGAGGGTGTTTGTTTTGTCGCTGAAACTTCACCATCATGTCACGGCCCGATTCCTCTTTGAACCAAACCGTGCGGCCTTAGCGCTTTACTGCTCCGCGCACACGCTAAGTCAGCCGTCTAAACTCGGACCCTGGTGCTTAGAGAGAGAAAGTGGCGTGTTTTAGAAAGAGAAAGGGGAAGAGAACTCTTATTAGAGAAAACTTGGATTCTGAGATCTACCTACAACTGAGGGAGCTCCTCTCAACTACCCTAATAAATGTATCTACCCAACTACTACAATTTATTCTACTTCCCAACTACTATCTACTCTCTCTAGACCCAACCAAAACGTTCCACAAGGTTCTAGAGAGTTTCGGAAATACATAAAGGAAAGAAAGCATAGAAATGACTAAGTGTTGGGTCATAACCCCCTGGTTTCGGCCCGTCTCGTCCCAGCATGGCCCATCACGGTCTAAGCAAAATATGGGCGTGACAATCAGCTCCCTTTCTTCCTCCTCCATATCATGAAAGACCAACTTAGTCTTGGGTTGATACCGAGCTTACTTCATCTTCCCTTCAAGCTTCTCTAGGTTCTCATATATTATTTTTTGCATGTGGATGTGACATGAAGTAAAGACATGAAACGTTTCAATGATTTTTATTCAAGTATGTTCAGAAGCTTTGACTAGAAGAAGATTTGAAAATATTTTTTATCCTTGCTGATAGGCTAACATGTTTAGAGAATATTTCTCTTTAAGGTTTCTTAGGAGGATAAAAGATAGAGGGCGTGAACCAGAGACATGATTCAAAATGGTATCCATGGATCCAAGCATAAGCAAAGCCCTCTTTGTCGCTTGAGAAGCAAAGCCCTCTTTGTCACTTGAGAAGCAAAGCGCTTGTCAAGGAGCTCTCTTTGCGGTTCTTAAACTCTGATGTCAAAGTTAAAAATGCAAGATGGGAACAAATTAAGAGTATTTAACCATGTTCTATGTTATATTATTTTATGTGCATGAAATGGAGCTTGTAGCTTGGTTTATCTTCATCAGGTCTTGGAGCTGGGAATATTAGTTCTCACAGCAGAAAGCCACGAGAGCAGCATAAGTCAAATCCAATGATGAAAAATGGAGAAAGACATATTTGGCTACACGTGATGCAAAATATAATCTCTAAGGTATAAAATACCAAAGGCCGCCATGCTATATTCATTTACTAACTTATCTAACTTCAGTGGAGATTATGAAGGTCTTTGTCAATAAGAATAAAAAAATTGCATAGAAGTTTATCCATTTATTTAAAGAATATGTCTATTAGGTTCGTAATCATAATATTTAGTATTTGCTAAATTATCATATCTAGATTTGTTATGATGTTCCACGATTAATTGAAGAAATTAATGGTTTTTAGTAGAGGAAGTGTTTGATAAAATTTCATGAAAACAAAAGAAAAAGTCAATTAAAAAAAACTAACCAAAACAAGATCACTTTAAGAAAACAAGTAAACAATTAATTAATCTCTCTCAACATGTATATGGTCATAAAAAAACCAAAAATCTAAACTAAACCTAAATTTGCTTTCAACATGTATATGGCCATAAAAAAAACCAAAAATCTAAGCAATAGACAATATATTAAAATAAAACCCACGCATGTGCGTAGATATTCATCTAGTTAGTGTAAAAACAAAGTATATATATATATATATATATCCTGTGACCTATATAAGTTGTCGTAATCCGTAGAAGTAGTTGATATAATTTGAAAAATTCGTAGAAGATAGAAATCCACGGACAATAAATGGTTATGGCCTTATATAGGCTATTGCATGTATGGACCCAGTGGAACAAACACTAGGAGGATTGGGATATAATACAACGGAAAATAGACCGCAGGGTTTATATATACTGCGTGTCTCTATGCTGAAAGCTATCCTTGCCTACATTTTGTAGTGTACCAATGTATAAATAGAGAGTGATTAACTAAATAATAATTTATCTGAGAGTAACCTGTTAGACAACAAGGGGAAATATAAGACAATTAGCAACAAGGTTTAACATAATAAATTACGCAATACGTTATTGATGATTCCACTAACCAGAGCCATACGAAAAACGGAACTTATCCATTCTAATTATTTTACCTTTATCTACAAGAGTTTGCGTTGTTTATCAGTCTACTTTCTTGTCTCTTTTTAGGTGTCTTATATATCCAATCAAATTTGAACTATACGTCGTGGCACAACTATATATTATTTATATTTACTGTGGTCTGTCGATATTTCAGCTATCATCATAGTTCACAAACCTTGTTTATTAATTTTTGGGGGGTGATTTATAGGAAGGTTTAAAAATACAGAACGGATTCGGTTTCGACACGACTGGTATTTCATTATGTTCGTGTAATAAACATTTGTAGTATAATATTCATATGAAGCTGTAAAAACAAAACAAAACAAAACCCTTAGCTCTCAGTTGACTGGCATGAAATTTTTTGGGTGGTGATTGTGTATGTGTTAATGAAACTGTTTGATTTTAAGTCCATTTTTTTATGTTTCTTAGTTGCGAGAAGTCCTATATTTTCATGTTTTGTTAACGCGGTTTACATAACTATTTCAGCTCATCAAGAATATAGATTCCGCATTAAGTAAAGTTAACAAAAACAAACAAAATATCACCGTTCTAATAACGACATCAAAAGTATAGAAATAGTTAAATCCAAAAAAGACATCACAAATCGTTATCTGACCACTTGTCGTGTCGCTAGCGATCATATTAATATTACTTAACGTCTTGGGAGACTGAACAAGATAACTCCACCACACAAGGTCTCACATGGTCCCCATTCACACCCTTCATACACACGTGTCATGCAGTAAATGGTATTATTGGACACGTGTCGAATACGTAGTGACGAGGACGGGCAACTAGTAAGCCCGACCTATTGAAAAGTCAGAAATACCACCATCGGTCGTTGCTTCAGCCGGCGGGGCCTGTCTGAAGGATTACGTGGCAGAGCCACCGTTCTTGGCCGCAATATTCTCTTGTATTTATTTTTATTTTTTTGCAACGATAGTTTAAAAATAGTAATAATATTATCCAAAAGAATGAGTTTAGAAGTAAATATTAGATGTTCATATATTTTCTCTGTTCATAGATTTAGACAGCGATCCAATCAACTATGCATATTGCATACATAATGTGGTCGCCTCCACAATTTACAAGTGAGACTCTCAATTCTTTTGAAAATAATTCAAAGACATCATTTTATTTAATTTTTCTTTAATAAATACGAACTAGATCATTAACCAGCAGATCTTACAGTTTTCCTTTTTCAAACTGTTTTTATTAATTTACCAATTATGGACACGGCTTCGATTGCTAAATTGTTGACGTGAATAAAAGTTATGAAAATTTAAAAACTTGATAAATCTATTAATGACAACAGTATATATTAATCAAAACTTAAATTCTTTATGATAACAAAAAGCTAAAAGTTTGTAATTCATGAAAATTGTAGCAAGTAATAAAATCTGCTAATTATTCGATTCCGTGGATAATTAGAGCTAATATGATGTTGAATAAGATACCATAAAAAGTAATGAACACCCGCCTCTTAACGGTGGCAGAGAATCGCAGCCTTTCAGATTCCACACGGCTCTATTTTTTCTCTCTATCCACTTGCTTACTTTTCTATATAAGCATATTGATGGCAAATAATAATAACTAAATTCTTCTTGATATTGTCAAACTATAACAAATCAATTGACATTTCCCTTTTTTTAAAAAAAATATAATATATATTTCAGTGACACTCTTACGGCGTCACCACTTTGGTTACATGTTATCACCAATTAGATAAGGATAAGTAGGTTATATGTATTAAAGTGATGAAGACATTAGTTGCACTGGATCAACTTAAAAGTACATATAATTTCACATAATATTAACACTGTATAAACAAAATTTTGATGTACACATTACCAAAACACAACAGAAAACAACACAGAGCCATGCCCTTTTAGTACAAGCTAAACATCAAACCCTTTACTATTATCCTAATTCTTCTATATTTATAAAAAATGTATTTATGTATGTGTCTAATTATTTTCGCCTTTATCTTTTCAGAAAACTATATTATAAAAAAAGAAAAGAAAAGAAAAAGAAAAAAAGACACTGGCACATTTACAACATTAGGACTACATCCTAAATTTCACCCCCAGAGTTATATGCATTATTATAATATGGATTACGTATTATCCCATCTTCTATTCATATTTGACTAATTATTATTATTATTATTATGGGGTTGAAATTCATCAACATTTTTGTATTTTTGGGTTTAGAACGGAGCACGATGTGGGACCCCTTTTCGCCTGCTTGAATTCCGGTGATTGTAGATCGGAGGTGTTCCCGGAGAGAAATTGAAACCACCTTCGTCGCCAGAGCTTGAAGACCGTTGATCGCCGCCTGGACCGTAGTCATCGAATCTAACGGTGGAGATCGAGAGACCACTCATCAGACGGTTGAAAGCATTCGTCTTACGCATCTTAGTCGGTGTGGTTGCCTCATCAGATTCCGAGCCACCTTGGTACTCTCTCCCGTGCTTCCCTTTGAAAGAGAAGGTTAGACTTTGATCTCCTCTCTTCATTCCTCCAAGCTGAAACAGAACCAAGGACAATATCGTTATTTCCACAAATCACATTCGAAGAACAGAGGACATCCACACAAATCAAAGAACAAAACTAAATTAATACTGAATAAAAATTTGATATATAATTCACTAAGAAGTGAAATGTGTGATCGGTTAAACGAATAATATTCGTTAAACCATCGGAATTTGCATTATTTCAGACAAGAAATGATGAAAACAGAGGGAGAAAACAGAGCACGAAAGTTTTGTTTTTGTTTTGGCTTACCTTGCAACCGAGAGAGCAGAAGCGGAAAGAGTCAAGGAGGCTTCTGCAACAGATTTCACAAGTGTTTGTAACACCTTTTCCGATTCTGGGCTGAGGTCTTTCATTGAGGAACACGATCTTTGCGCTGTTTATTATATATGTCTGAACACAAGAGATGTCTATATACTTCTGTATCTCATTCACTCTCACCACGTTATGGTAAGAAGATCTCCGTATCTGCAATTTTTAAAAAATTACATTTACATTTTCATTTACTAAAATAAAAAAAAACCAATATTTATTTTTCCGAGTGGAAAAAGAAAGAGAAATTGGACCTGAACAACACGATGGTCTTTATGTTTGACCAAACAGTAAGAGCAAAAGGCATTTCCAGCACAATCGAGACAGAAGAGATTGCATTCGTTTTTGTTTGAATCGGCGTGGATCGAACAGGGAACGAAGTAGCTGCCTCGTAGCATTGGCATTAGCCACGGTGGACTCATACAGTCTTCTTCCTCCTCTGTTCTTATCATCGGTCCCTGAAATTCCAAGACAAAATCAGAAGACTGGAGAGGTTTATAAGGCAGACAAACAAAAAGGGTAAAAGAAGATTCACCATGACTTTCTTGTGATTGGCCTTGAAGGCCCCGAAGTTAAGCTTGTGGTTATGGTTTTCGATAGCCAGATTTGCGAGCTTCACAGTGTAGAAAAACCTGCGAGGAGAGGAAGAGGGAGATGAAGAAGTAAGTGAAAGCGGCGGCTGAAGAGAGAAATAAAGGGTTTTTATTTTTATTTCATTTTCCTTAAGGCGGTCACGATAAGTTTATGCGGTTTATATTTCATAGGAAAATCATTTTTAAAAAAATTATATTTGAGTTATTTAATATTCTTGTTAATTGCTAAAGGTATCTTTTTTGTTTGTTCCTTAATAATATTTTTCTGACTCCTTTATTTGGGAAAAAACATTTTGTTTTGGTCTTTATTTAGTTTGGGGGAATCATTATCTCGCTTTTTTTTTTAAGTCCTCCAAAGACGCACGTATCTGTGAATATGCGTGTCTGTTCAGTATGCATCTAGAAGACCCAAAAGGAATTTAAAAAAAAAATTTAAATAATTATGGTTCACAAAAATAGTAAAGATAATTATGTTTTTGATACTTTTTCTGTTTCATAATAACTGTTATTCATGACACATTTCACATTGATTAAGAAATTAATAAAATATACAAAATATTTCTAATTAATATATTTTTATAACATTTAATTACAAAGAAAAGACTATTATTTTTAATGAGGAATAAAACAAAAAATAAAAATAAAAAATTATATTGAAAATATAGAATAACACTCTTTTTAAAACAAAAAATAAATTTAAAACAACATTTATTATGAAATTGAGGAAATATCAGACGTCTAGTATTCAATACATTTAATATCATGTTAATCTTACTGCTTATGAATTGTGTGCTATATATAAATAATAATGATAGATGTATGTATAATATAGCGGACAATTACATATGTGGATGTCAAGTCTAGTTAAGACTTGGGAGTGATACAACAAAAATAAAGGAACTAGGGTTGGGAAAAATATCCATCAAATTTGATTCAATAAGTTATCCATTTCAATCTATCAAAAAAATCTAGATGTCAATAACTTTATAAACAAAGCAAATATACTAAAAACCAAAATTAGTTAAAAACAGACCAAATCAAAAATACTAAAATTTTAAGAGACAGATATCCGATCTTCTTCTACACATATATATGTATATAAATATTCTTATATACTGTATAATTATGTCTATTGGTAAGTTTTATAATCCCATTTATATTCATTATATCAATTATTGAAATATTAACCAATTTAAAAAGAAAATATATTTTATAGTGAAATATTATCATTTTTAAGTTAAGATTTGAATTTTGATATTTGTTATTTTAATTTTATATAGAGTGATTAATCCAGAAAAAAACAGAGCAGATCACGGATATACTAAAATTTAGGATATCTGCTCTGCGTCTATCCCTAAAAAGAACTATCAAACACTTGAATTTGAAAAAGTCAAACAAAAAATTGAAATTAGTAATGGTTAGACAGACATATTATCCTAATTCTTTGTTATATCGACAATTCAAACTGTGACGACATAAAGAAAGCAGAGGTGGCGATAGATGAAAAGCCAGAAAGATCGACGGGTATGAGAAGGACAGAAGAGAGTGGCCTGGTGATATCTGGACCGTTCAATGAGAAGAGCCTTCTCGTATAATTCCTTTTTGGTGGAACGTGGCGGACGCTTTTGCCCTTCCGGTTCACACTCTTTATAGTCGTGGCTAATCCAGAGACGTCGAATTAAATAATTGAGTGGGACCCGTTACGAGTCCATATGTCAGTGTTAAGCTGCCACGTTACGTGCCGTGATCCAAGAAATAATAAAGAGAGTTGGTTTTTTTTGTTGGTCGACAAATAGACTTGGGTTTATCGTTGAAACAAATTAAGAAATTTTAAAAGTGGAAAAGGTAACAATTTTAGACTAGTAAGTTAATTGTAGCTTGTATGAACGGAGTGTCGTTTTAACCGGTTAGATTCTCTGGTAAAGAAGTCAATCCATGTAGGCTTACTGCTTACAGAATCTCTTTGTACTTAGACGTCATTATTGGCAATGATGCTCTTTTTCTTTTTTTAAGGTTGATAGAAAACTTCACTTCAAAAAAATGGTTAAGCGTAACTTATGGATCGAGGTTCAGACATTATTATTTTTTTAATTGGAGACGAAGTCTCTCTCAAACAAAATCCGAATCTATAATGCATTTTGTTACTATGTTGTAAACATAATGTAAGAGTTTTAATTAATTATACATTAAATTTGCATAAGAGAGTAACAAAATTATTTATATTTAGGAGAGATTTTCTATGGTTAAAACAAAACTGTAACCGGTGTTACGAGTTATAGCTATCATGTATTAAACCTATAATTTTTTTTTTTTTTTTGCAAATGCGATGATATTTTCCCTGTTTAAATTAATCAAAGTGCTTTTGATGCCGAGTGAAAATCGTATACCTCAAAAAGGTGATAGGCATGCAAAAGAAAAGTGTGATCCACGTCATAAAAATTAGATATCACCAAATGTGACCACGAATAGTTAAAAATGTAATTGGAAAATCCGACCAAAGAAAGTGAGTAGACACACATTGATGAGGAAAGTGTGTTTTTTGTATTCATATCTCTCCAAATTGGCAAAAGAAAAAGAGAATTTAAAGATATATAGCTGGCTTGAAACAGTAGCTCTTGACACACGTGACCTTTGTGTACCGTTTGACCACGTGAGCCGTTAGGAAAACGCGGGTTATCTTAATACGAGCCAAAAGAAAAAAAACTTGAGAGTCTAAAGAACTAAATCGTGCATGATTTTTGACCCCCCCAATAAAATCGTGCATGAACTCTCAAACCTATTTAAATAATAATAATAAAATAAAAACTCTCAAACTTTTTTTTTTATTCCTATAAAAAACGAACGAGAACTATAATGTATGTAACTTTATAAGAACACTATGCTCTTTTAAAGTTTGGCAAGGCAGACAGATGCAACCTGACCTTATCGGATTGTAAACATTAGCTATTAGCTCGCACTAGGTGTTGTGGGTCCACACTTGTCAAACTTTATATCATTACCCAAATCGTACATAATTGTTTAATGAGATTAATGTGCAATTTGGGCGACCAACAAAAAAGGTGCAATTTGCAGCACACATGAAAAGGATTCAAACCCATTCCCTTTAAGAATTTAAGTTATTTGGGTGCTTCACTCTCTTTTGCCACTTGCTTCTGGTGGTGAAGAAGAGCCAATGGGAAACATGTTTGGCCCATAATTATTTACACTCTTCCAAAAGTATATCCTCGAACTTATAAATTACAATATTCATATCTTTGTGCTTTGATATAAATTAGAGCTGAGCATACGTAATGATACTAGGTTAGATATAATTAGGCAACGCACTTTTACTAAAGAAATAATTTATAGAAATCAATCGATATGTCAGTAAGATCTTATTACATTTATAATTTGTTTTCGTATAGATATTAATTGTTGCACTGCAATTTGTTTTTCTAACTTGAATTTCACTTAATAACAGATTTTGTTTTTTAAACTGCAAAGATTATTCGGAGATTAATTGTGTTTCACTAATATACTAAGTGTTTTGGTATATATTACCAAATAATATGCAGAGTTGAAGTCTTGAAGATGTATATTGGAGTTTTTTTTATAAAAAAAATATATTCCTATGACGAAATTGATTTGGACTTATTGATAAAATCCTTCAAGTTTTGACTTAAAATAAAAGTTCAATAAAATTTTTAAAGGAAATCTAGAATTTTTCTCAAACGAATTAGTTCGAGTAAAATTAATAGTATATTTGAAAATGAAGTAGTATTTCAAATTGAATTCATCTAACGTTCAATTATTCATCTAACTCGGTTACTATTATCCCCCAAACGTAAAGAACTTTGAATAGGAATTAATAAGAAAAGAAAAATTGTCGAATGCAACAAAATTAAACATCCGTATATATATAGTAAACCATGGAGGCGAAGCCACTATAGTAGGAATTACCCTGAAAATGATGAGGAGTTGAGTATAAATGCAAAACTGTCATTCGGAAATTCATTTCATGAAAGGACTCTTGGAATTAGGGTATGGACAAGGAGGTGAATGAGAATGTTATAATCTCAGAGAAATAAAAATTAACTACTACGAGTAATAGGCATATGAAGATACAAAGACGGCATTTATCGCAGGTAGGTCCTCGATATGAAGAATTAGCTTTTCAGAGGAACCAAGTAACTACACGGACAAGGCTAAAAAAATGATAAATACTATACGCCACGTGGTATTATTTAGCCGACAAGAGTCACTATCCCTCTCCTCAACAGTACAAGGTTCATCTCCTCTTTCACGATAACGAACGTAAACTAGTTCGTTTTTACGAAACTGCCACATTCGTATGGGCCGAAAGCCGCCCCCGGTAGTCTAAGAGTTCATGTTCTTGGGCTTTAGAAGCCTAATTAATTGTAAACTTGTAAGCCTTCATCGACTTTGTAATATCAAAGGGCAATATGGCGAGTTAGATTGATCTGGTCTAACATGCACTTGAATAATTGAAGATACAACACGACTTAAAGGTTTATATGTAACAATCACTATTTTAGAAAAATATCGGGTATCAGAATCATTAACAAGAAAAAAAAACAAAAAATAACAATCACTATTTTAGATGAATGGTTAAAATCGATAGATAAATAAAGTCGTCTTGTTAACTATCTATCGATTTTAGCTATTCATCTAACTTAAGTTACCACATCCGGGTGAAAAAACGATATATATATAATTTCATATGGGTAAAATATAAAACACAACTAAACTAAATTCTTCCTATTCTAACCGAAACAAAAGTAATCATCGCAATTAGAGTTTCGTTATAGTTTTAATAAAACGAAGTAACTGAACTAGAAAAAAAACTAATCATAATCTAGAGAATTCCTATGTTCAGGAAAATTATTCATTATCAAGAACATTGTATGAGAATAAAGAAAAACTAATGTTATTACTTATTAGTATGGCTTATTATATTCTTTTATTCGCTTCTCTATCTTAACTTTTTTTTTGTTGGTCACGTCGCTTCTCTATCTTAAATATGTACGTTTTATCATTGTGTAATCGGGAAGCATGATTAACCACCTAAGAATGATTAATCCGGAGATGAGATGACAGTGTGGAATAACTTGTCGAATTGAACAAAGTGAAACAATTGGCTAAAATCAAGA